ATGACTCCACTGCCGCCCGCGCCCCGCCCCATCTGGCCGCTTGCGCGCCCCATCCCCCCTCGATGGGGCCCGCCCACACCGGGGCCTCCCCCCTCCCGCCCACTGCTTTCTCAACGGCCCCGAGCCGGGGCTGCCCTCATTGCATACATAGTGCGCCTTTCCCTGCTTTTCTAGTGACCTAGCGTTCCGCACTGCCGTTTGGCCAGCCCATGCTCCCGTACCGTTGCGTTTCTCCCCAATGCGCCATGCCACTTTGCCAGTCATACACACGTTTCGATGCGTGCCCTGTCAGCTGCTTGCGTTGCATGTCGCCTTGCTCCACCCCTGATTTATTGCTTTCTCTGCTTTCGCCCGGTTCCCGTCCCGTTTCGGCGGGGAGTCTATGTTGCAAGCTAGTTCTTGCTTTACCAGACTTTAAGCCCACACAAGCAAACCCCTGGTGCCCTCACCTGCCCGGCCAGGTGCCCCGCCGCACCCATGAGCTCGTCTCGAACGTCACCATTTGCTCCCAGATCAGGACGCAGTGGAACACCACCACCGCGATGGATCCTATGGCCCGCAAGCCATTGAGGCACCGGAAGTCGAGACCGGCAGGCGCAGGCGGGGCCGCCGCTGGCGGGGCCGCTTGAGTCCGCTTGCAGCTGATCCTGCCGCTCGCTATGGAGATGAGTTGTGCTGCTGCTGCCGTTGCCGCTGGTGGACATGCCATTGTTGAAGAGTGTCTTGGTTTGAGGCTGGACTAGAGCTGTGTGGAGGTCGAAGTAAATGGGTTGCGTCATGATGGTGTGGTCCATTTCATATATTGTATCCAGTGACACTGGGGCACAGCACAGCCACAGCTGTGGGTGCAGCAGGGTGACGCGTGGCGAGGGGGTGACGCGTGGCGCGGGCCGCGCCCGCATGCCAGTGGCCTTCCACAACAGAGGAATCGCACCATACGTATGAATGCGACCGATCAGGCCGCTCAGGCCGTGCGCATTGGGTGACGCCGACACTTGCCACCGCTGCCGCCAGCTCGTCCCGCTGATATCAGTGAACTGCAAAGAACAGCCCAGCGCAGGATTACCAGGCGTCATGCTGCTTTACAGACATCATGCTGCTTTACACCTCCTCTCTACCAAGAAATGCAGAGGCAGTGCGCAGGCTACGCCGGCGGCCAGCGTGCCGGCGCACACGGCGGCAAGGCTGGGAAGCGGCTGCATTGCAATGAACCGCGGCAGCCAGCCGGGGGGCAGCAGCAGGATCACCCACAGCCGCGCCTGCTCGTGCATGAGGAACAGCGTGTAGGACAGCGCGCCCACGGGCCGCCAGGCGGGCGCGCCCAGCAGGCGGGCCGCCGCCGCATGCATCGGGTCGGCATGCAGCACCAGGGCCAGCAGGGCGGCTGCCACCAGGGCAGCCATGAAGGGCGAGCCCCAGGAGAGCAGCGCGACGTGCAGGCGGGCGGCAGACAGCGGCCAGGGCGCGGCGCCTGGCGCGCGGAACAGCAGGTGACGATCAACAAGCAGGTACAGGTAGGCGGCCTGGAGGGCGAGGGCGACGGCCCCCAGCACGCGCCGCCTGCATGGAGCGGGAGGCACAAGCAAGGGCACACAACGCGGCATTGGTGGCGCTCGTGCAGCAGTAAGCCAGCAGCACGGCGGGAGGCACCCAGGTCACGCATAGAAAACAGCAACAAGCAACCCCCACCTGCGCCGCAGCAGCTGGAGTGCCGCGCGGGAGCGCAGCAGCGCACCCAGCGCCGCCCCCGCCGCCAGCTCGGTCACGCGGCTGGCGGTGGGCAGGTAGGACGCGTGCAGCAAATTGGCCCACGACAGCTGGGAGGCCTGGTCCACCGCAAAGTCGGCCACCGGCAGCTCCAGAAAGTCGACCCGCCAGGCCGCCCACAGGCGCCACAGCGTGCCGCCCAGCGCCGCCGCCGCCAGCGCAGCCGCCAGGCGAGCCCGAAAACCGGGGGCGCGGGGTCGCAGCGCCCACAGCAGCAGCGGGGAGGCGAGGTGCCACTGGGCCTGGAGGGCGACCGTCCACAGGTGGATGGCTGCGTTCGGGTCAGCAGGCGTGAGGGGCAGGGGTTGGCAGCCTCGCCAGCGAGGGAGCAGCAGCGGCAAGGATGCGGCGCATGCCTGCACACGTTGCATGCTCACCGCAGGCCTTGTTGCCCAGGAAGTTCTGGATGAGCAGGAAGTTGGCCCACACGTTGCGCGGGCAGTGGTAGAAGTGGATCCAGCGGGCGGCAGCCGCCTCGCGGGGCGCGTCTGCCGGGCCCAGCGCCACCGCCGCCGCCACATTTGCCAGCGCGTAGGCGGGCAGGATGCGCAGCGCACGGCGCCGCCAGTAGCAGGCCACCACGCTGCCGCAGCTGGGCGACCCCCGCCGGCAGTCCTCCAGCTGGGGCAGGAGCTGGAAGGCGCTGAGCGCGGCGCTCAGCAGCAGCAGCACATCCACCCACACCATGCCCGCCGACGCCAGCTTGACTGCCGGGTTGCGCTGCGTCAGCTCATACTTGGGCTGGTGCGGCAGGAAGAACTGCAGGCACGGGTCAGCGTTTGTGGGGCCAACTGAGTTGAGGAGACAAAAACTTCAACGTGTGTGATGGGACCGTGTGTCTGCGCACCTGCCAGTACACGTAGCAGTGCAGGCACAAGATGCCGAGACAGGCGACTGCACGGATGCCTTCCAGGCACCGCAGGTCAACGTGTGCGGGGCTCGCCCTCCCCGCAGCGGCGGCGGCACCAGCAGATGCAGCGGCGCCTGCCTGGACCGCAGCCCTGCCGGCACCACTCTGCTGCCCCTTGCTGCCTGCCCTGGTGGTAACCATGCCTGCCAGGTCTTCACTCGGCAGTTTCAGTCGGCGGGCGACCAGCTAGCAGAGGGAGGGCAGCCCTACCGGCCGGCAAGCTGCATCTTTAGCAATCACATGTCGAGAGGGTCCTTGTTGCCTCATCTCGAGTCGCGCGCCACTTTCGATTAGCGCCTCACGCCCCGCACGCTGAATTGCCAATGCAAAATTAGGCCAGCCGCTGCATTGCCGCGCCATGGCGCTGCGGCCGCGCCCCCTGGCAGCACTGCCCACCTCCAAGATAAGCACGGGCGACCCCCGGCTCGACCATGTGCTGGGCGGCGGGCTGCCCTGTGGCAGCCTGACAGAGGTCACAGGTATGCTGATTGGGCGCCTGTTTGCATCAACCGCCCTCCCTGGGAGCTGCTGGGCCCAGGCCACCCACTTGCACCTCGGTTGCTGCTGCCCACCCGCCGCCGCCCTGCCCTCCTGGCTGCAGGCGAGGCGGCCGCCTCCAAGACGCAGCTGTGCCTGCAGCTGCTGCTGGCGGTGCAGCTGCCACAGGAGCACGGCGGGCTGTGCGGCAGCGCGGTGTATGTGCACACCGAGGGCGCGCCCGCCATGCAGCGCCTGCACCAGCTGGCCCAGTGCCTGCACCTCAGGTAGCTCGTGCTGGCTGCGAGGCCCTGCGCCTGCGCCTGCCATCTGCGTGCCTCCTGCTGCCCACTAGCATGCCGGCGGCCTCCCCTCAACACCGCTACCCGCCTTTCCGCCCACTCCCTCTCTGCAGGCACCCACCCGAGGTGCTGGCAGGCCTGCCCGCCCCCGCCGCCAACGTGTTTGTGGAGAAGGGGGTGAGCAGTGGCGTGGAGCTGCTGCTGCGCCTGCAGCGCCTGCGCAGCCTGCTGGAGAGGCAGCGGCGCTTCTCGCGGGGCACGGCCGGCATGGGCATCGGCAGCACGGGCGGTGGTGGCGGTGGCGGCGGCTGCGGGCGGGCCGTGCGCCTGCTGGTGGTCGACTCTGTGGCGCATGTGTTCCGGGACCTGGGCGAGGGCAGGGCCGAGGGCGGCGCAGGGGTGGCGGAGCTGGCTGGGCGCACCCAGCTGCTGTTCCAAATCTCGGCGCTGCTCAGGTAGGGGCAGGGCGCCTGCGTGTTGGTGACGGACGTGTGGAGTTGTTGCAGGTGTGAACGTCTCTGCAGGGCTGCACGAATAGGGCTCACCGTACCGGCCCTGCTCCCCGCAGGCAGTACGCTGACGAGTACGACCTGGCTGTACTGCTGGTCAACCAGGTCGTGGACAGCGTGGACAGCACGGCGGATGGCTGCAAGGACGGGCTGCCACAAGCCCCACAGCGGCAGCAGCAGGCAGGCCGCGTGGCGGCGGCCAAGAATACCGGCCACACGGGCGGCCTGCGCCTGGTGTCTCTGGGGCGCGAGGTGGTGCCGGCCCTGGGCCTGGCCTGGGCCAACTGCATCAACACGCGCCTCTTCCTCTCCCGATGCCTGGCTCCAGATGGCGCCGGCCCCGCGCTCTTCTACGGCCCGCCCAGCCCCGCAGCGGCAGCGGCGGCAGCCGCCGCAGAGGGCGGGGGCGGTGGCGCGCTGGCGCCCGCTCTGCGCAAGCTTCAGGTGGTGTTTGCGCCGCACTTGGCACGGGGCAGGGAGTGCTTCTATGTTGTGGAGGCCACCGGGGTGCGGGGCCTGCAACCAGAGGAGCTGCAGCAGCACGACGCGGCGGCGGCGGCTGCAGCCGCCACGGCACATCAGCACCGGCAGCAACAGCAGGAGGCCTGGGAGCGGGAGCAGCGGGGGGCCTGGCAGCGGCAGCAGCAGCAACACCAGCCGCCACAGCAATATGGCAGGCAGGTGCAGCAGCAGCCACATCAGCAGGCTTGGCAGCAGCAGCAGCAGTGTCAGCCGCCACCACAGCCTGGTGGCTGGCAGCACGGCGGCACCAACAGCTGCCAGCAGCCACCGCAGCGCCACCCACAACAGCAGCAGCACATCCGCCAGTGGCAGGGGGTAGCCACTGGCTGGTAGCGAACAATGTTCTTTTCTGGTCATTTCATGTTTCACTTTACTAGGCAGCTGTGTGTAATCAGTGCGCGAGGCTGGATCCCAGTGCCGAGTTGCGGCCTTGCGGCACCCCCACTTCCGCCAGGGCCTGGCGTGGCGGAGGCTTGCAGCAATGGCATGCATGCACCGATCACCTTGTTGCTGCCCTTCCTTGCGCTCGTGGGGTTGTCGACTGATGTTCGCATGCCTGTGGTCCTTGGGCGGCCCCATGAAGCGGAGGCCTAGTGCTTCCCTCCCTCTTTTCCCTTTTCTGTTTTTTGGCACCATGGCGAAGGAATTCTTGAGTTCTGTCTCCCTGGCCTCCTGCCTGCCCTCGACGCCACTGGTCTCTGTCACAACCGGCTGCAGGCTCGATGCCGCGATCCGGACCCTGCGTGAAAATACGATTTTGAGCTGCCCTGTGCTGAAGGGGGTGAGGCTGACCCAGCATGCATTGGCTGATGATCTCGCTTGTGGAGCCTCTGCCCTGCCTTGCTCCAAACGCTCGTGGGGACGCATCGCGGTGCCTGAATGCAGCAGCGCGCGCAAGCAGCCCACGCCCGCCGGAGCCGCCGCCCGCTGACCGCCACCTGCCGCCGCCGCCGCCGTTCAGGGCGAGTACCAGGGATGCATCTCCGTCAACGACGTGCTGCGCAGCCTGATGGCAGAGCTCAGGGCGCGGCAGCCGCACTGGTTTGATACCGGCGCCTCTGCATTCAGCGCGGATGACCTGGTGGCGGTGGGCAAGTCGCTGCTGAGCAAGAGCGTGGGCGAGCTGGAGCACGCCGGCAGCCTCTACCTGCTCAACGCGCACACCAACAGCAGCCTGCTGGACTTTGTGGTCAACTCCTTTGACATCCGGTGAGGCTGGGGGCGATGGGCGTGGAACGGGAAGCGCGCGGCCCTAATGCTGCGCCTCACAGCGCCACGCTCGCTCGCCCCTTCCCGCCCCGCAGCGACAGCCACCACGTGCACCACCGCGTGTATGTGTGCCTGGCCGCGGGCACCTCCCACACCGTGGAATCTGGCTTCACGACGGTCGTGAACGCCACCAAGCAGAGCGCCGCCTCGGGCAAGCTCACGGTGAGCAGGCCGCTGCCGCCTGGCCGCCCGCTGGCCATGCGAGTGCCTGGCGCACGCTGTGAGCGGCAACGCAGGCACGCCGGCCTCCCTGGTGCAGCCTCCGCCCACCTCCCGCCCGCTGCTGCCTGCAGGTCACCCACGTTGTGTCCCAGCGGGATGTCATCCGCCAGCTGGCTGCCAACAAGGGCGCGCTGGGCATCTCGGGGCAGACCCTGGAGGCTCTGGGGCTGGATGAGGGCGCCGTCTTCTGCGTGCCCGCCACCACCCCCGCCCTGGAGGCCTTTGGCCGCATGGTGGCGGACCAGAAGAGCTGCCTGGGCCTCACCGACCCAGCCACCGGCAAGCTGGTGAGGCGGCGGGGTGCACGGGGCACTGGGATAGTGGGAGTGGGCAGGGGGAGAGGTGTGCCACAGCGGGCCGCCGCCCTGCTCTCAACCCCTGGGGCTCTGCTGCTGCCTGCAACCTTCACGACACCTGTCTGATGCCCCCACCCCGCTCTCAACCCACACCGCAGGTGGGCACCCTGTCTGCCTCCGACGTGCGCGGCCTGTCCACCCCCGAGTCCTTTGCCTCCCTGCTGGCCCCCGCCGCCGACCTGCGCGCCAAGCACTATGGCGGCTCCCTGCCCCCCGTGGGCACCGTCACCCCCGCCACCACCTTTGGCGACCTGCTGGACATGCTGGTGGCCAACCTGTGGCACCGCGTGTACGTGGTGGACGGCGAGGGCAGGCCCACCAGCATCATCACCCTCACCGACATCCTGCGCTGCGCCGCCGCGTGAGCGCGTGCACGCGTGCGGCTGGCGATGGCGCCAGCCCTGCCCCGCAAGAGGGTGGCAGCACATCCTGAGTGGGCCGGCTGATGGCCCCGATGAAATGTAGCACCACTGCCACAGCGCCTAACACGTTGGCCAGCCAGCCCGCAACCTGCATGGACCCCTTCTCTTGAGGAAAGAACCCTGTCCCAGCCCAAACGTCTGCTCCCCTTTTGTTTGAATCCCCTTTTGTCATGTGTGATGCTTGCCCATAGATACATATCCCCTTTTTTCATTGCCCCGCACCGACATTGTTTGTGCGTGCCATTTTTCCCTCGTCTCCCAAACCAAATCCATAACATATGTCTCACCCCGCCCGTGTGTGTAACCAGCGCAGCTAGTTTGATTTGGTTTACAGGGTTGTTGCACAAGCTCTCTCGTCTCTCAGGCACTGGCACTGCACGCCTCTCCTGGCTGGCGGCTACTTGCTGCCCTTCTTCTCAGCCTTGCTGTCGGCAGGCGCCGCCACGGCGGCCGGCTCAGGGCCGGGCTGCTTCTTCACCGGCTTCTCGCTGATGCCCAGCTCAGCCATCTCCTTGGCGGCCTTGGCGGCCGCCTCCACCTGCAGGCAATGGGGCGGCAGGTGGGGCGGCGATGGGCGCAGTGGTGGTGCGGGCTGGCTGTGCCTGCAGGCTTTTGCTGGCCTGGGAAGGGCCACCCCGGCTAGACCTCACCTGCGCGCGCTCAGCGTTCTTCTTCTTGCGCTCGTCCTTGGCCTGCTGCTCCCAGCCCCCTGCAAGCAGGTGAGGAAATGGTGAGTACGGTGGGAGCGGGGCACGGTGCCAGGTGGGAGCGGCGGCGGGGGCTGCGGCGGGCAGGAGCAGCAGTGAGACAGACCAGCGGGCCTCGAGGCCACTCACAGGGCACAATCTCGTCCCGGGCCCTCGCCTTCTGCGGCTTGCCGCCCTTGCCGCCCTTGCCGCCCTTGCTGCCCTTGGCTCCACCGCCAGTGGCGCTCTCCGCGGCGGCCTCCTTGCCAGCGCGCTTAGCGGCAGCCTTGGCGCCCACCTGCAAGGCAGGAGGGGGTGGCAGGGGCGACAAAGGCCCGAATGCGTGTGCATTGGGGCCATCACTGGTGGTTGGCCCGACCCAGCCGAGCTCTGCGTCGCCCTCGAGGCCCTCGATTGGAATTCAGGACCCTCGATTCGAGGATTCAGGGGCCTGAAGCCCGCCCGCCCCCACATGGCTCACCATCTCTACGAGGTTGGGGGTGCGATTGCCCGAGACTCAGTTGACCGGCCTTGACTGCTCGAGGGGAGGCTGTATGAGTGCGGTGAAGGCAACAGAAATCGCGGAAAGTGTGTGGCTGGGGTGCATTGGGCTTGTCAATTGGAGCCCCACAGCGGGAGCACAGCGTACGCGACGCACACAGCATGCCGCAGTACGGAGGAAATAGCGAACCAGCATCCCGACAGGCCTCCCAGGTTGCAGCAAGGCTGCCAAAACCCCTGGCACGCACGCACACACGCTGTACTGAGCCATGGCGGCAGTCACTCGGGCCATGTGCAGAGGTGCATCAGACAGCCCCCTTGGAATGAAGTACAGCGCACCAGGACAGGGCACCAGGTCAGAAACCAAAGTACGCACGGGAGCACAGCCCCACAGCCAGCGCAATGGTCACGTTGTCTGCCTCCCCACCCAGAGGCAGCGATTCTGCCAGCGCGCCGAAACCGGAACAGAGCAGGACGCCGCGCACCAGCGGCCAACCCCACTGCAGCACGCCGCCCGCTGCCGCCGGGCCCGCCGATGCAAACATGCCGTGCCGCATGAAGTAGAGGAGGAGGGGTAGGGAAGCCGCGGCGCCGCCCAGCCAGCAAGCTAGAGTGCCGCCAACCGTCTTGTCGCAGTTGTGCGGAAGCGGGCGAGCCAGTGCCCGCAGCACACTGCGACGCCATGTGCTGCCGCTGTCTACGCTGCCCTTCTTGCCGCCCCTGGCTGGCGCATCTGCGCTGGCCGCCGCCGAGCTGCAGGCCCGCCCCACCACCTGCGGGAGCGTGCCAGGCGGCATTGAGGCACGACTCAGAGGAGCAGCGGGGCGGGCGGCAGCTGGGCAAGCGTGTGGGCCTCGCTCACCTCTGCCAGGCCATCCCCCGCACACAGTATTGCGAGCGCTAGCACACCGCAGGGCGAGTGACGCCACCATATCAGCGTGGCTGCAACGTGCACGGCGGCATATAGCAGCGGGCCGCGCAGGAGCTCCTCGCGCCGGCCGCTGCGCTGCATGGCGGGGGGTGGGGGCAAGCTGCGCATTGCTGGGTGCGGATCATACCACGGCCGAGGGTGCAAGCGCTTCCAGTGCAGCTGCTAGGCAGGCAAGAGCGCCGGCAGCATACTCACACTGGCCCCCGCCACCAACGTGTCGTCCCGCACAATGCCCGTGCCAACCAGCATGAATTGCACGCCCGCCAAAGCGGGCACCGAGGCTGCCAGCCAGCGCGAAGAGGGAGCGGCGCTATAGAGTGGCCAGCACAACATGTACAGCGGGCCGGTGCCTGCAAGACAGCAGGACAGGAGGTGGACCGTAGGGGTGGTAGAGGGCGGGAGGTGAGACGACCTGTCGTCTCACCCATGTGCACCTATGTGTTGCTGCTCACCTATGTGCATCATCTTGCGCGCCAGGCGAGTGGGCAGCAGGCCCAGCCTGCCCACCACGCCGCAGACACCGATATAAGCCACCGCGCCGCCCAGTGTAGTGAGGAACGCTCGGCCGTTCTGGCCCTGCAACAGCGCCGCGATCATGCCTGGAGAGGCCTGCGGCGACAGAGCGGCGGGGACCGCGGCGGCGGGAGGCTGTGGCGCAGGCTGTGGTGGGGGCGCTTGGGACCCGTGCTAAGCAGCACAGGTTTGCAGACATTGAGCCGTGTCCCCTGACGAGTCCCGGAAGCCTCCCGCGCGGAAGGCGGGCTCGATGCTCCTAACCTGACCTCCACTGCACACTTGATTGACCCCAACTCTGTGCGATTGGGAAATTTAACGAAGCAGGTGGACGATGATGAGCATCACCCCAAGAGCCCTGTGTACTGCAGCTCGCGGCCATGGTACAGCTGATCAGCTTTGCAGTAGTGACAGCCAGCGGCATTCATTGTGTGGCCTCTATTCTGCTGTGCAGCCAGGCCATTATGGTGCCAAAGGCATCATCAGCTGCAGGGTCCACATCCACCGCCGCCTCGGGCAGCGACATGGGCTTCGCGTCGGCGCCGCCGCCGTGGGCTGGCCGTTGCGCCGCGTGTTGCTGCTGCAGGTCCCTGAACTGCCGCGCGTAGGGCAGATAGCTGCTGTAGGTGAAGCGCTGCCACACGCGGGCCAGCGCGCGCTGCATCTCCTCCCGCCGCTCCTGCGTCACCGCCTGCAGTATGTCTGGCAGCTTCTCGGCATCCGCCTCTGGGATGCGTATGGTGAAGGTCGACAGGTCCACGACCGACTCAAAGGACACTTGAACCTCGTCCATGATGAGGACAGGGATGCAGCTGCGCGGGTGGAAGGGACGGCGACGCAGCGGCGTGAGCAGGAACAGAGCGTCCAGCACACAGCCGCCCCGGGCCCCAAAGCTGCCACCCCAGCGCCCGCCCACCCACCCGTGGAGCATGGCATCATCCATGCGTGCGCTCCAGCCGTCTCCAGGTATCACCGGGCAGAAGACAGAGGAGGCCAGCAGCTCTGAGTAGTCGCCCTGCAGTGTGTCGTATCTGGGGGCAGAGCGGAGAGGGGAGCCCTAGTGGCAGGCCTGTAGGTGCAGCCGCCCCTGGTGTGCCACTGGGGCACAGTTGCGAGGGCTGGTGCTGCGGCTGCCGCTGCTGCTCGTGATGGAAACCACAGGCTGCTGACGGCCAGCGGCACAGCGCAGCCACGACTCACTCTCCCACCGCAATCTTGTGCTTCTCCAGCCACCCGCCCTCTGCGGCGGCCTTGGCCAGGCGCTGGCGTATGCCGCGTGAGTATGGCGGGTTGTCTGCCTGGACCTGCAAGCCCAAGGTGTGGCTGCGAGGTTGATGGGTGGCAGGGGGACGAGGTGGTTTGCGATTGGAGCTGGCGCATGGGTGGGGGCGAGCACAGAGTACTAGATGGGGGGCGCTGGAATTCCAGGGGGCACTCCACCAAGCAAGCCAGGCAGGAGGCAGCGGCTCACCCGCCCCCTGTGGAAGGCCAGCCAGGTGCGCTGCCGCGGCGGCGCCCCCACCAGCGGCGACAAGCGGTAGTGCTCCGGTGTCTTCATCAGCGGCACCACCAGGTCCTGCAGGCAGCGGGGGGGGCACGGGGTGGCCACGCTGGGGGCAGACCTAGGCGCCTCTGGCGCATCCTCCAGCCTCCAAAGCCACACGCGCGTGCGCACACACACACACACACAGGCATGCATGCACCACTACACACACATAG